CAAAATCAAAATAAACACAAACAACAAAAAAAGACGAAGGAACATAAAATGCAAGCTTTTCCTACGTGCACAAGTATTTGGCTGTCACAGTCTTTGACACTAAAATTGGTGATTAATTTTGTTAATAAAGAAGAGAAGGTCTAGAGTGATAGCTGAGCAGTTAAGGATTAAGAGCTCATCTGGACGGCTCAAGTTCAGTTATTAGCTCACAAACACCTCTAGCTTCATCTCCAGGGGCAGCCAACATCTCTGGCCTCTGCATGCACCTGTATGCACATACTCACACACAAACCCACGCACATACGCATAATTTAAATTAATACATAAAATTTTCCTTTAAAAGTAAGGCAAGAAGGATAAGACTAGGAGAACAACTTGAAAAGCACCATCTATTTTTAAATAATTGTCTCTTGAATTAAAACATGAAAATACTTAGTAAGATTGGAAGTAAAAATAAATCTCAAATGTCTAAGCAGTGACTAAAGGAACTATAAATAAAAATAAACTTTCAGTTTAAAACAATAAAGTTAATGAGCAAAAAACAGGAAAAACCAGTTAGTGCATGATTTTTAAAAAATTACACAAAATGATGGGTTTTACTAACTATCCACAAGCATATCCTCACACACAGGCTTGTTTCCTACCTCCACCCTGGTGCAGCAGCTAATTACCACTTAAATAACATTAATGAAACAAGAAAGAATAAAACATATAAAAAAGTAGCGAGTGCCATCATACTGAAACAATTATTAAGTGATTCTACCCAGCGGGAGTGATGTTTTTTATCAAAACAAACTCTCTAGCATATTGTTCATGAAGTGTAATTATCTGTTAACACTTTTAAAAGCCAACTGACAGTCTAACAAGACCCTTGTTGTGAAATACTAAATCAGCTACAGTTATTCTGTCCTAACGAATCAGCCCTCTAACAAATGAAGGCTTTATGCTGAGGGTGAGTGCTTATGTAGCACTGTTTATGCACTGAATATCCATGCTTCAAAAATAAAATGACAATGTTGCCTGCGAAAACTGGAACAGATACAGGCCAGGTGTGGAAGGTATGCACCGCCAGCTTTCTACATGCTCAGTTCAGTGCAAACGTTTGCAAACAAAGAGAAGCATCAAAATGTCTGATAGAGCCTTCACATGACAGAATATTATTTGCACATTAAAATTGGGTTTATTCACAATTTGTCATACTATGAAGCATGTATATTATAACAAGTAAGAAGTGTCAGTCAAATCTGTCTGTCTATGCTGCTTTAATCCCACAAGTTGCTCGTAGAAGATATACTAAAGAAGATCACATTAAATAATTGCAGTAGTTAACTTTCTCGTAGGGATTAGTAGGACCTGTCTCTCTTAAACATGTATTCCACAGTCACCATTCACTATGTTCAACTAATTTATTCATCTTAATTTAGCTGTAAAATACAAATCCGTTAGGGGTTCACAAGATGGCCCAGTGGATAGTTATATCCTTCCAAGCCTCACGCCTGTTCTTAACTCCCAGGACCCGTGGGTAGAGAGGGAAAAAAGCAACTCCTACAAGTTGTCCTCTGACCTCTACAAAGGCATTGCGTCACACACACGTGTGCATGCACGCACACACACACAAATATATATGTTATAAAAATATTTTAAGAATACAAACTCCTCAACTGCAGAGATAACATACTCAAAGTGCAATAATGTAGATATACGAACTGTGCATAGATATTAGGTAAATATAAACACATACTAAGATAAATACAATTAAGCTAAACAGCATACTATCCTGCAATTTACTTTTCCCAGTTAAAAAGCTGTCACAGACAGCATTTGTATTCCTGTAGTCAGAATTTCAGTTTTATATCACTGTTACTAAAAGTGAAGAGCACAGTCCATATGCATAAAGTAAGAATCCAGGAGCAAGGCTCCTTGGCAAAGGCATGTATACAGTTATGTTACATCAGGGTCTAAGAATGAGTGAACTAGTGACTAGAAAAAATAGTCCTTGACTTATATTCCTCAGAGAAGCAGAGTAACTGAGCCCCCAGTAATACAGTACAGCCGGATACCCTTTAAGGCATTAATGTACATTTATAAAAGCCCACTCTTTGATCACTCCCCCTGGATAGGTGGCCTTACCAGGCCACAGAAGAAGAGGAAGCAGGTAGTACTGATGAGACTTGATAGGCAAGAGTCAGATGGTAGGGGTGAGGTTGTCTCTTTTCTGTGGACTAGGGCTACAAATATATAAAGTGAATAAATTATAAAAAAGAAAAGAAAAATAGTACTTTTAAATTATCCCTTCATTTTTGAGATTGTAATATGATGGCATTCCTTTCCTTCCCTTTGCTCCCTTCAAGCCCTCCTATGCATTCCCCTTTCCTTTCTTTCAAATTCCTGGCCTCTTTTTTTCATTTATTGTCATTACATGTTAATATGGGCATACTCCCAATACGTAAATAAAAACTGCCCAGTTTGTATAATCTTACTTGTATGAATGTGTAAATACTCAAAAAAAAAAAAAAGAGCCAAACTCAAAAATATTTTTAAAAAACCACACACACACAAACACAACCACCTATTTTGACACATGTGTATGGTGTTGCCAGATTATTTCTTGTTTTAAATTATATGACTTCCTCTGTTGGGCATAAGTGGCGCACATCATTAATCTCAGCATTCAAAGAGGCAGAGGCAGGTGGATCTCTGTGAGTTCAAGGCCAGCTTGCCTCTACAAAGCGAGTCCTGGACAGCCAAAGCTACCCAAAGAAACCCTGTCTCCAAAAAACAAATGGACTCTTGCAGACACTTGTTTTTGTTGTTCATAAAATAAGTACAGTTGGTACCTCAATATTTTGTTTGACATAACTATTTTGCCGCCCCCCCAAAAAAAGTGTACCCTGTTCCTACGTGTATGAATAGTCGTCTGAACAGAGTATAGAATGGAAATGGCAGAAACACTGGCCATCAGGAAGTGCTACTGAACTTGATCTGTAAATGAGCTACGCATGCCATATGTGTAACAAAGCATGCCAAATGAATAGTGTCCCTCAGGTTTTACTTTGAAGAAGCTATGGTTTGGATACCATAATTTAGCCTAACATGCTGGGGGCAGGTAGACTATACAAAGGGATGAAGCCCCGGAAGCCTGTATTCTCAGGCTTTGCAGGCACAGCTGGGACTCACTGAAATTTGTGATGAGATTCTAGGCACCCAAGCTATATTTTGTTAAGAGACTTAATGGCTACTGATATATTCTCATCCTCTCCATGATGAGATCTTTAAGCACTCTGGAGAGCACATAGATCAAAGCTCAGTGCACTAGAGCCTGAGGGACCACATCCAGCTTCCCTCCTGCCTTTGTAAATAGAGATTTACTGGAAAGTGGCCAGACTCATTCATTTACATATTGCCTGTGGCTACTGTCACTTTGCAGTTACTGAGATGAGGTGACAGAGCAGAGATTCTAAGGCCCACAGATACTAACACAGTTTTCCCATGCCTCTTCCAAAGAGAAGTTTGTCAATTTCCGATTTAAAATTATGCTTGAAAAATTAATTCCTTAATACTTAGTGTATACTTTTCTTTAAGAGCCATGGTATTTTCAAGATAGAAAAAATAATAGTGTATGTTTGTCCTTATTCCAGAATGGCATGCCCAATGCTCTAAGTTGGAGTCTGGAGTTAGGGTAGAGAGTCCTGAGTTCAATCCTATCTCTGCTTCTGCCCACTTAGGTAAATTACTGACTCTTTCTGGGATTCAGTTTACTTATCTTTAAGTACAGATCATGAAAGCACTTACCTCAAAGACTGGGAGCAAAAATCAGATGTGTTTCCCTCAGCACAGGGCTTGGCAACCTGTGAAGCCTGCATGATCTGATAAGACTTGCTATAATGCACTGCCCACTGCACATCCAATCACAGTTTCATGGACTCCTTAACACCTCTGTGGCTCTTTGCAGCTCCCAGGCTCCGTGGTCTCCATGGAGGAGAGACTGAGCTGCCCAGGGGCTGGAGCTAGCTATACTAGACATACCTTGTAACCTGAATCGACATGGGCTACAGAAAGACATAAAATGTAGAACCTCACTTTGTCCTTTCGTAGGGATTGGACAGGATATTCAGAGGCAGCCAAACTCTTCTACATACCAACCTTGAAGCTGAACTCTTAAAATCTGTTTAGTAGCCACCAGGATACAGGGCATCAGGGCACAGCAACATTGTCCCCCCACGGTGACAGTCCACAAGTACACAAAATGCATGTACGGCTGTCACTGGCAATTCTTTTCCTTTGGTAAACAGAATAATGTTGCCCACAATGAGACTTAGTTGGGTTGAGAAGTAATTTTAAGAAATGCAAAGTTCCCAGTGACTAGTTTATACAGGGTAGGCTCTTGTCTCTTCCTCTCTCACAGCTCTTACATTTATTCCCTCCTCATGGCCCTAGTCCTTCTGAAAGGTGGCCACAGGCATCACAGGAGAGGTTGCTTCCTGAGTCTGAAACACTTAAGATGGGGTCACACAAATGTAAGACATAAAGCTGGATTGTAGAAGGCTCAACAAACAAGCCTAGTGAGAGGAGGCTGAGCTCTGGAAGGTGAGATGCTGGCCCCCATGTTATCAGATGCAGCATGCCCCTGAAGACACCATGGGAATTTGTGGCTTTTCTCAGATGGTACCGGATACCCAGGAAGTCCCTCAACAACAGTGAACAACAGTGGGACACACCACAAAATAAGCCAGGACACAGCATAGACACAAAACTAAAACCAGGTAGGCTTTCAAACTGTGGATCAGAGTCACCATGAATCATCAGTGCTTTTCCTGCCTGCGAGGGTCCCTGGTTATTTCACAGTACAGTGAGAGCCAAATAGCTTTATATTAAAAAAAAAAAAAAAAAAAAAAAAAAAAAAAAAACAAAGCAAAACAAAATAAAAACCTCCTCCTCGTCCCCCCAAAAGCTGCCTGAATGTGTAGTACTCTGGGTCTCAGTACTTCCTACCCACTTACCGAGGAGAGAGAGGGTAGAGCCGTGTGGCCTCCGTCATGAATCACACTGAACTGCACAGCCACATGGGCTTCCAAGCCCAGTCTTCACACCAGCCCTTCAACAAACAAAGAGAGACGTGCTCCAGTTAGCTCACATTTAGGGTCACTGCAGTCTTTGCATATAAATGCTAGAAAGTTCCATAAATGCCCCGTGACACCAGGGCAAGCATCTTCAGCAACGCTGGAGAGAGCGCCACAGGATACCGTGGCAATGACCATTAGGAGAAACCTAGAATTATAGACACCACTGGTTTTATTTCTTGAATAAAGATAAACTTTAAAAAAATAGCACTGTAGTTTTCTTTCAAGATTTACTTTGAAAGTTTGAGTCATTTGCCTAGGAGTGAGAAGGGTGTGCAATTAAGTATGGGTGCCCACAGGAGCCAGAGACTTCAAATTCCCTGGAGCTGGAGTTATAGCCAGTCGTGAGCTGCCTGATATGTGAGCTGGGAACCATATGCAGGCCCTCTGCTGGAGTAGTGCACTCCCTTAACTGCTGTGCCTTCGCTCCAGCCTGAGAAAATAAAAATTTTAGTGCTGTTCAACATGTGAAAAAAATCTCATGAAACATCCGAAGGGGCCATTATTTCAAATTCACTGGGGATTATCTTAAGTTGTTTGAAAATAAAAATGTGCCCATTTCAATGGCTCCTCCGCTGCATATCTTACAGGAAAATACCCAGAATAATGTGTTTCACAAAGATGTTAAGAGTACGTGCAGCATAAACTACACCTAAAAATGAGCTTTCCTTGTCACATGCCCATGTGTTTCCTGCACAACCGTAAGATTTAATAAGAAAAAGTTATCCAGTAGCACAAAAAAAGTCATTTTACCAAAAGCCAGAAAACGTGTTGTATCTTTCTGCAGATTTAGTCTCTCAAAGCAGGAAAGGCATGTTTCAATGCCAACCAGAGCTTGAAGGAGGTGACTTTTCCCTGCAGTGACATGTCTACCATCCGTGAAGGACACTTGTTGGGTTCAGTGCCGAACCCCAGCTCAGGCCCTTCCTCTCTCCTTATTCATCATGTCTCTTTCTTCCTCCTCTTCTTTTAGCAGTATCTGGCTATTGTACATGTAAAGCACACTGATGTCCTCTATCCTCCACCCACACAAGAGAGAGCAGCTGTGAATGATGTTGAGAAAATGAGAAGCCCTTCCAAAACATCCCGGCAACCCTTCCACTCAATGAGCCCCATGTGGCAAATGTCGGTAGTGATCAAAAGCCAACTAGCCTCCATAAAACAACCCCGATTTTAATATAACTGCTGGAAATTGTAGATTACAAAATGTAATCTGCTGAAATGCCGTTAGGGGTGTCCTGGATTCCAGGGACACAGCGACACTACCTTTCCATAAGGCTTCTGGTTTCTGGAAGAGGACTATGGAAAAGATAGAGAATTTGCAAGAAGCAAAGAAATGACTGGAGGCAGAGTGTGAAAGCGCTTGTCATAAAGCTCTCCCAGCAGCCCAGGTGCAGTGCTGCCCTGCGGTGTTGCCAACTCCAAGGCCTCAGTGGGGTCTTCACGGCCAGTGACCTCATCCTTTGGAAAGGATAAGGTACAGATGCGACTCTTTGAGGCCAAAAGAAGGGTCAAGGAGCTTTCCCCAAGGTAAAGAGGCATGCTCAGTCCAGGAATATAATGTAAAACAGTCCATTTCTTTTTCTTTTATTTTTCTCTCACCAGCAGTAATATCTCCTAAGGGTGTGGCAACAAAATGTTGATTAGGATGCTATACTAAATAGCACATTTGAATACATAAGTTGCTTCTCTTGAGCCTATAGTCTTACTTTATAAGAGTTACTCTTAAAATTCCCTCACATTTGCTTATTTAGATCATAGCCCAGGTATAACTAATAGAATTAGGCAGATCCACTGATTTGCACTTTGCCTCTGGCTATGTTTAATAGTCCCAACGCATAAGACTTAAATTAAAAGTGGACAATGGACCTCCTGATTTCTCAAAGAGAGGTCATAGACAAGTTGATGCAGAACTCTGTTGGACTTATGAATGACATTCACAGAACAAAGAAGATGAAGTAAAAAAAGAAAAGAAGCCCTCTGTAGCAGGTTCTGAGGTTGTTTCCTATTTTCTTTTTCTTCTGATGTCCATCCTCTTTGCCTTTCAGGATGGGGATTGAACATTTTAGTTAGGGTCCTCTCTTTTGCTTAGTTTGTTTAGATGTACAGATTTTAGTGGGTTTATTCTATATTGTATGTTTATATGAGTGAGTATATACCATGTGTGTCTTTTTGCTTCTGGGACAACTCACTCAGGATGATCCTTTCCAGGTCCCACCATTTACCTGCAAATTTCATGATTTCCTTATTTTTCATTGCTGAGTAATACTCCATTGTATAGATGTACCACAGTTTCTGTATCCATTCTTCAGTTGAGGGGCATCTGGGTTGTTCCCAGCTTCTGGCTATTACAAATAAAGCTGCTACAAACATGGTTGAGCAAATGTCCTTTTTGTGTACTTGCGCCTCTTTTGGGTATATGCCTAGGAGTGGTATGGCTGGATCTTGAGGAAGCGCTATTCCTAGTTGTCTGAGAAAGCGCCAGATTGATTTCCAGAGTGGTTGTACCAGAGAGCCTCTGAAAGCCGAAGAAAACAGGAAACAACCTTGAAACCTGCCACAGAGGGCCTCTGAAAGCTTCTGCAGTATAGACTGTCAAAGCAGATGCTGAGCCTGATGGCCAACTGATGGGCAGAGTGAATGGAATTCTATGTAAGAAGTGGGAAATAGTAAGAGCTGGAGGGGACAGGAACTCCACAAGGAGAGCAACAGAACAAGATAATTTGAACACAGGGAACTTCCCAGAAAATCATATTCCAACCAAGGACTATTCGTGGAGATGACCTGGAACCCCTGCACAGGTGTAGCCCATGGCAGTTCAGTGTCCAAGTGGGTTACATAGTAATGGGAAGAGGGACTGCCTCTGACATAATCTGATTGGCCTGCTCGTTGATCACTTCCCCCTGAGGGGGGAGCAGCCTTACCAGGCCACAGTAGAGGACAATGCAGCCACTTTTGTTGAGAACTGATAGACTAAGATCAGAAAGAAGAGGAGAACCTCCCCTCTCAGTGGACTTGGGGAGTGGCATGCATGCAGAAAGGGGAGGGAGGGTAGTATCGGGAGGGGAGGAGGGAGGGGCTTATGGGGGGATAAAAAATGAATAAAGTGTAATTAATAAAAAATTTAAAAAAAAGAAAAAAAAAACACTTTAAGAACCGAAGACTCATGGTACAGAGAGACAGCAGGTATTGCAGGAGGGAACACCCCTGCTCAATCTAAACAGGCAAGCCATAGCCCAGACAGCCAGACAGCCCCAGAACAACTCTTACTGTAAAGCCTGCCTTTTTCCCCAGACCTCCTGTGATTGAGGAAAGCACAGATCCCTTCAGAAGCTGATATCTGAATACAAAGACCACTGAATGCATTGCCTGTGCTTGCACCAACAGTGAAGTAAACATCCACAAGCCTGATGGCTGACAGCTAAACTAGCAACATCAACTTTTTCCCAAGGCTCAGCAACATCCAAACAGGACTTGAACCACTTGAGGGTCAGTTCCAGTGCATACGCCATGGGCCAGGGTGCATGGCACAGGTTCAGCACCTGCAGTAGAATACCACACCCTTAGCAGGAGGCAAATTACAGGAACATTCCTGCACATGAAGAAGCCTATCTTGTTTATAGGGCTTGGACAGGAGAAAGATATAAATGTGCAGAAGGGTAAGTAGCATATCATTCAGAGATATTGTAGAAAAGCTAAGGGAGTCAAAACTAAAGAGGTTCTATTGTCTCAGAAGCACTCCTACCTGACTCGGTAACACCAGCTTCTCTGTTTGTCTTAATTTCCCACTAACATCATTCTTTTCTCTTTTTACTTGGTATCAACCTTGATGCAAGAAACCTCTGAGGTTTATAGAACTACTATGGAGAAAAAGATCTGTCTGTAGGAATATAAGTGCAGAATTATCACTAGAACTCCCTGTGATCCACAAATAATTTTTCCCAGAAGTTTCATCCCATGACTACTTCCATGGGTTCTTAAAATGTCTCCATGTAGAAATGATGAAATGAAATATAAGCATCAATTACAGCTTCCTAAGCGCCCATCAGTGCCTGGGTTGCACATAAAAATGTGTTGTTTTCTCTGACCCCCCACTCAGCATGAGGTAGTGTGGATTTATAAATTCTGGGGTGACCAAAGTTCAGCCAAGCAGCAGCCTTCACTCTACAAATCCAAGAAATAAATTCACATTTTAGGCAGAGTTCAACTTGGGGTTTTCACAATACTAAAATCACCCTGGAAATTAAATGGAAATAGACAGACTTTCTACCTAGTATCATAATATCTAAACAAAACTCTACCAGATGGAGGCTTAAGAAACCTATAAATGGTCAGGTTAGAATTTTCCAACTTGGGAGATTTCAGCAGCGGCAATGTCTTATCATCAGTGTGTAGATGTCATAGCAACTATGTGCAGTACGCCCTGATGACAATGCTCAGGAAGGAGCTAGAAATCAAACCAGGAAGGAGCTGTGCTTTCAGGAAATCACACAAAACACTCTGTGATCCTTCAGGTACAGAATTCAACAAATACTATGTATGAAATGGGAGAGAAGAGACGTCATCTGCAGATAGAACCATTTAGAGAAGCTGCATGGAGGAAAACAGGTGATCTGGGCTTCAACTGATGAGTAGAAAGAGGGTAGAATTTGAAAAGAGGAGATGAAGTATGTCCAATTGGATAAATTATAGGGGAGCAAATAGCAAACTCATCAGCAATGTCTGAAAATCATTGGTAGTAAGTGAAGAGCCATTTTGAACAACACATGCTGAGTTGGAACATGTGTGTCTGGAACCACTGTTTTGGCTTGGTATGTTGATGGAACTCCTGCACAGGGCCACCGCAGAAAGGACTCCACAAAAATGCACACAGAACAGACATGGGTCAAAGAAATCAATTCTGCTAAGGAGGGAAATCAGGACAGCAGAGAACTGGGAACAGAGCAGAAAGATGGCCTTTTTTAAAAGCACACTT